CAAGTCTCCAGCAGGACTCAAAATAGCAAGGCAGTAAAGTCAGAAGTGTTTACAGAAAGAAATTTCTTTAAAACTGTTAGTGTCATGGTATCTTGGAAATGACAGCTGCTTATACATCCACAAGCTGCTCCAGTCTCAGTTCTCCTTACTGCCATACACCCTTGGCTGATGGGCACACTTTTACCCCCATTCTACACCGGTAGGTGATTAAAATCCCTTCCTGTTTCCTCCCTCCTGTGCCAGCTGGTCCACAGGGTTTTCCACCAGAGAATCACGAAACGTAATTTCAAAGCCATCCCAAGGAAAAGCCTCTTGGCTAGAGCCCTGGGATCTCATATTTATTTACATTTTCTTCCTTGTACTTTGAACATATCTGAAGTTATTCCTTATTTTCTTAATATGTAAGCCTTCCCTCAGACAAATGCACCAAGCAGGACCAGTCAGGGGTGCAGATCTGGTGCCAAGGGGATATGATTTACATTACATGCAAATCTGTTTTGGCAGCACGTGAGCTCTCCTTTCATCCAAATGGCTTAAAGCAAATGCAAACTGGCCCGAACATGGATACACTATCTTGGAAAGAAACCCAAATGGGTGTAGTCTGAGACTGGCATCTGAGACAGCTGGGCCTGATTTTTAACTTCACTGGTGGGATTTTGAACAGAGCAGAATGCAAACCTATTGGGGACATTATTTTCCTGTACCTAAAGCAGCACTGAGACATCCTCGCAGCCAGGTGGGAGCATCTTCTCTGCCAGAGCAAGGGACAGAACAAGTGTCAACCGGGCAGACCGAGGCAAGCACGCCCCGAGGGTGGCTCTCACGATGATGCTCCTCAGTCACCCTTGCAATTACCTCAGATTAGCAGCGATTTACAGCCGGGCTTGCACCCAGGGCCACGGGGCAGGAGAGCAGCCCCAACACTGCACAAACACCTGTTTGAAACCATCGCCATGGGGAGGGGTGAGGATGCAGACACTTGGTGAGTGTCAGGCTGCAAGAGCTGCTCCTGACCTACAGCAGTGGAAAGGAGAGCAATGAAGTGCAGTCCCCCTGCAGAGAATATCCAGAGCAGTTTTGGTGGCAGAAGTCAATAGTTATGCTTGTAGGACTGCTTTGGTTGTTTGGTTTGTTTTTTTTTAAATTTATATCACAGGTCTTCTGTAATGCCATTGTTTTCTCTTAGCACCTGTTCCTGGTTTCCCCTGCTACATCCTCAGCAAGAATAGGTACAGTCTCCAGTGTGGCTGTACTGGGTGAGGCACACATTCGCTCCCTGGACTGTAAAATATGTCTGGAAGGTTCAGGAATATGATTCCAATGGCAATTGTAGAGATGCCTAATGATACTGCTCAGCTGCTTGCCTTGGCACATTTCATAGGAGCGGTTTCCACCAGCTCTGCCGACGGGAAATCATCCTCTCCTGTTCCTTCTCCTGTTACCCACACTGCTGATGGTCAAGCTTAGATTTTCAGTTTGCACTTTTGCCCCTGGAGGTGTAAGATACCAGTCAAGTACTTCACAAAGGTCCTCACCCTACAGAGCTCTTTCTCAGCTCTTCAGTGCCACACACCCCATATACCCCTGGCAATGACTCTACACATGGATCAAAAAAGTTACGCCTGCCTAGTATTACACACGATTACACAGATAATTTGCAGTAATATTAACCATGAACAGGAGGGGGGAAAAGTGAACTAAAGGAGAAATTGTTTCAGGGTGGTGAGGGATTAAGAAAACTCTGCCTGCTAAGGTTACCCAGAGGTGAACGTTGACACAAGCCCAGAGGTACTCGGCAAGGAGATGTCCAGAGACAAGAAGAAGTGAGAGGGTCTCAGGGGAGCTGGCTTGTCTAAGATTGGAGTGACCACCCTTATCTAGGGCAGCACACTGCCTCCCAGCAATGAATGTCAGAGTGTTTATAAAAACCTGACAAGGTATCTGCAACATGTTTTAGTACAAATTACTGTGGGGGGAAAGGCTTGCTTTGGTTGTGGAACCAGCTAAGAACTGTGTTGGCAAAACTGCTGAGCCCTGAGGAGAAGGGACTATTCTAGCTATAGAGTCATTTTTCATTCTAGGCTAATGATAATCCAAGAACATTAGTATTCCACACATTAGTAGTTAAAGCTGAGTCAATTTAGGCCAGAAAAGCTGTTTGGGTATAGCAATAATTAACTATTAAATCCAACCAGGTCACTTGTCCATCCCTGAAGCATTCTACTAAGATCTCTCTGGAATGTGGTCTGTTTAGAGGTGGCAAAAAGCAAACTCAATTACCATTGCACTTCAGTGGAGATGTAAGACCCTCACTCTTTCTTTCAGCAGAGCAACCCAGGAGGATTTTTTCTAGGGGACATAGACCATAAATAAGTGAAAAAGATACAAAAATAAGAGAAAAAAAATCCAGGCATTCTGTCTCTTCTGGACAGAAACTGAACTGAAAATTATATTCTGCTGCAATAAACCAAGCAACCAGATGTTTCAGATAATTAGTATTAGAGTCAAATTTTTCTAGCAGCTGTTTTCCTTGTGAAAGACAAGCAGTGTATCAGCCTGGACAAACTCTTCCAACACGATGTCGAAGACGTGATTGAGACACAAGATGTCATTTACATATTTAATATATATATATATATTCTCAAGAGCTTTAAAGCATCAGCTTGAATATTGGCAACAGCAGTAGCATGTGCAGAAGTTTACTTCTGTCTCTAGGTATATACTTGATGAGCTAGATGAGTTTTCAGAGTTCGCTGCCCTTAGCATCTAACCTAGAGCAGGCAAAAATGACTGGAAAGACCAGCATGCCCCAAAAAATGTGTATTGATTCTGTTGGGTAGGGGTTTTTTTCAGGAGATTTTAAGACTTTCCCTAGCGTAACTCTGTATGTTGAAGTATTTTAAGAGACACCATTCTGGTTTCACCTATTTAAAAGTCTGTGAGCTTGTCCATCCTGTTTATAACACACTACAGCATCCACCTGGAGCAAAGCATCTGTCTAGCCACACTAATTGAATTAGTCTGTGAATTTACCCATCTAGAGATAGAGAGCTTGCTAGCTTCCCAACTTCAGGATTTTTTATAGAAGGAGTGCCAAAATAAACATTTTAGGAAGGAGATGAACATTTTTGTTGTCTAATGAGATTTCCAGAAAACTTGCCTTTTTGGGATTTCTTTGGTGGAAGAACCAGTTTTTTCAGGATGGAAAGCAAACACCTTATGAACTGGCAGAAACCTGTATGGAAGAGCCAGTTTCTCATGGCCTCATGCAAAATCCTTGGCAGTTGAGGCCTCAGGTAGCTTCTAATGTGCATCTTGTGAGGTTTGCAATGTCTAGAGGACTGATCTATATCTCATTAAAATGAAGACCACTCATCTACAAGCACCAGACTGTTCTCCTCACTAATTATTTGATAACAATGCCTCAGGCCATTAATATTGGAGACCGTGTCCCTGAGGTGGACCAGACTATTGACACTTGTTGATGTGGCCCAGACCTGCTGGAAAAGCTGTGGCAAGAAAAAGTTCAGCATGGGAGGGACCTGTTGGCAGCTGATTGTTGGCAGAGCGAAGGGCAGCAATTGAGTGTGCCAGGTATCTTCTCCATTTTCTTTCCAGCAATGGCTTGCAGTTCTGCAATGTGCACCAGCTGGTCTGAGTAAAGATTCATCAACCGGGGTGGAGACTCTGCTCAGAGGTTTTCAGCATCGTGTTTAAAAAGGTTACTCATGTAAAAATAGGCCAAAATAAAAAGCCCCCAAGAAGCGATAATATTTTGGGAGATGAAACTCAAAAAGAGCATGGGAAGAAAAAAGGGCTCATTCAAAATATCAGTTCTCTTGACTTCCTGGTGCTGACTGGTTTATGCCCTGAAAATTAGAATGGTCTTAAGTTCCATTTTCAAAGATATCTTCTGAGGTGTCCAGGAGCTTCAAGGCCTCAATTACCTTTGAAAATGAAATTTAGGATGCAAATCATAGTGTATTTCTGAAAAAATGTAGCCTGTAATCACAGAAAATTCTTCCTCTCAAAGGTCATGGGCATCCCAGTACTAAATGGATAACGGATTTAAAGTTCTACATAACTTGGAATTTAACAACACAAGGAAGAGGAACAGCAGCTCCCAGTGTGGATCCAGAAATGAACTAGAAAAGTGCATGGGAAGAGCGAAACAGATCAGGTTTTGCAATTGCGCCGACAAGGAATGTGATCTGTAATCGTAGAAGTGAAGATTAGTGGTTTTTAACAGAAGATATCTCTTGAAATTAGAACTCGAGGTGGGTCTGAGCGCAAAGGGCACCACAGAAGGCAGGTGGCAGGGGCAAGAAGCACGGCGAAGGCTGGCGCACGCGGCAGCGGCAGAGCGATGCGAGTCCCCTCCTGCCGCTCATTTCTTCTCACCTTTAATTTCTGTGGGGCCTCCGTTTCCCTCTGTAAAGGGGCCCTAAAACTGAATGGAACAGGGGACGCACACCGGCAGGGAGTCGCGGGCAGGGCCGATGCGGGGGCATCCTGCCCCCAACCTGCGGGGACAATCGCGGCTGCCAGCGCCGGGCTGGAGCATCCCCGCTCCCTCCGACCGCGGGTGCGCGGCGGCGCCCGGGGGGCAGCGGGGCCGGGGCTGCCGCTCCCCCCGCCGTGCCCACAGCTCGGGACGGGGCCGCCCCGCCCGCCGCGGAGCCTCCGCCAGCCCCGGCCCCAGCCCCGGCCCCAGCCCCGCGCGTTCCCCGCCCCTCGCCGGCGGGGACGCGGATTCGGCCTGCGCGGAGCCGGCGGAGAGAGGGAGCGCGGCCGGGCGAGGGGAGGGGAGAAGCGAGGAGGCGGCGGCGGAGGCGGCGGCGAGCTGGCCATGGCAGCAGCCCGCGGGCGGAGAGGCAGCCGCGGGTTGCCGCTGTGATTGGCACCCCGAGGAGGAGGAGGAGGAGGAGGCGGAGGAGGAAGGCGCGGAGCAGCCGCGGGGCCCGCCATCCCGCGGCGGCGGAGCGGCGGTGCCCGGGAGGATGCCGGGGAAGCGGGGCTCGGCGGGCGGCGGCGGCGGCAGCGAGCTCCCGGGGGCCGGCGCGCCGCGGCAGCGCAGGCGGCGGAGGAAGGTCTCCTGCTTCTCCAGCATCCAGCTCTTCCTGGTGTCCGAGTGCGCCCTGATGCTGGCCCAGGGCACGGTGGGAGCCTACCTGGTGAGTGCGGCCGGCCCGCAGCCCTCCGCGCCGGCGGGGCTGAGCCGCGGGCGGGGAGCGCAGGGGAAGTTTCCCCGGCGCCGGGGCGGCTCTGCGGGCAGCCCCCCAGCCCGGGGGCGGTCAGGGCAGCCCGGCGTTCGGCGGCTGAAATGACTCAGCAGTGCCGAGGGGTCACCCACCCGCTGCCGCCCAACTTGTGCGGCCGGTCCGCGGCACTCGGAGCGCCCGGAGCGCGGCCGTGCCCGGGGCGGGCTGGCACCGACGCCGGGCTCCGGCTGGCCGGGCACTCGGCTCCAGCGCCAGCCTTTCCACTTCACACTGAATAAATACCGGCGGAAGCTAGTGTGGCATTTATTTCGTGCCTCCCGCGTTACCGCTTTCTCCTCATCCTCTTAAGTGATGCAGCGGTGCAAAGCGCAGCGGCCCCGAAAGTCCCGGTGCTGGGTACAGAACAATCCAAATAAGACTTTAGCGCTAAATCTGCATAGTGAGATGTGGTGTCAGAGGCAGAAGTGTAGTAGAAGAGTTGGGAAGATGTCCATACGGCTGTGCTTGTGCCTTGAAGTGTACAGCCTGTGGAAATGTTCTGCTTCCAGCAGATGTAAGTGTATAAATTTCTGTGATTTAAATTTCTCAAAATAGCTTGCTGGATTTGAGAATTATAGTTTCCATGGAAAAGAAATGTATTCGTAATCTCTGAGGCTTTTTGAGGCCATACACATAATATATTCTACAGTAAATGTAAGAACTCTGCATTTGGTACTTGTATTCAGTATTTAGCATTGCTTCTCTCACATGCTCAAACTACTTATGCAAATTTGTACTGAACGTGATCTATAATTTTTCAAGGTATGTGACTAAACTAACCATGGTTAATACTCCCTCTTAATAAGAAATGGAAATTAGAATTCATCTCCATATAATAAAACACAAGTTTAGTTTGAAGCATAGTTGTAATTCCAAGGGAAACTGCATCACATCTGATGAGATAAATTCGGCAGTCCCATACCCTAGGTGAAGTACATGTGGATATAACTTAATTTGTAGGCAGGAAACTGGCAGGAACATGCCTGTTTCATGTGAGTAACACCTCAGTAAGTAAATACATTGTTTCCGATGAGTTACTTGCAAAATGAGCTGTCAGTGTGAATGAGTGTAGGATAATCCTTCCTCAAAGTAATAGTCAAGGAAGAGCCCACGGTTGATGTCACCCAGTGGGCACCGGTGTGCCAGGAATGTATGGATCTGCTGGAGGACTGTATATCAGCGCGCTTCGCTGGGGTGTTTAGCGTAGGATCAGCAGCATTAGTCCCTCGTGTGGCATTTTCCTCAAACTCCTTTGCATTGCTCACTCCTCACCAGTTTAGCATTTCTTTTCTTGTTCTCCCCAACTCCTGGGGTGTGCTTCATACCGGAGAGGCGTTGCTGCTCGTTTGGAGTGTTTCACACACGCCAGCCCCACTGCCTGGAAATGAGCACTGCGATTCCCAGAGTCCTCCCTCCTCCAAGGGGTGAACTCGACTGAGGTGCTGCTGTCTCTGCCCTCTGCCTTTCCCCAGGTCTGTGTCCTGAGCAGCATGACAGTGTGTCCCATGGCTAGCGGGACTGGGCACTGAGGGGAAAGAAAAAAAGCAAACTAAACTCAAAACAATCCCTAGCATGCATAAGCAGTGGCCCAGCTGCACTGGGAAAGTGTTCCTCTGTTCCCTGTATAATTTATCTGCCGTCATTGCAAATGCCATGGAGCTCTTCATACAGTGAGCAGATGCAAATGTGGATTTGCCATTGCAGGGTGAATCTGTGCTCAAAGCAGACCTGCCCAGCGCTGTGCTTACAGGTGCTGCAGGGGACTGAGAGCACGAGCAGCAAACATGCTTGGTGGAAAGCATGGAGGACTTAATCCTTTTTGCACACCGAGTGTCCTGTGGGGCCAAGGGCTGCTCTCAGGTGCTGCCATGGGGTGCAATCAGTGGAGGCACTGCAGAGTTACCTAGGTGTAGCTGCAAGTGTAAATTCATTTGCTGGGGCCTCTGGGATGAGTGGGGCTCGGTGGTGGCTGCTGGGCTGCTCCCCCAGGGACAAATTAGCAGGCGAGACAAAGTGGAGAGCAAACAGAAAGACAAATAGGGAGATGCTGCATAGGACGGGCACAGTGTGTAGTTCTGGGCAGTTGAATAAACTACTAATTTTAGCCTGTCAGCAGTGGGGGAGTTCTGTATTCATGTTTCTGCTTTCCTTGGCCACATGTGTGACTTTCCCTAGTTATTTGTAACTCAGGAAGAGAAACCTTTTTTTGCCTTATAGGGCGACAAGTTGGTTTCCTCAGATGTTGTCTTGTTTGGCACTGGGAGACCATGAGAGCAGAAACTCAGCTAGCTAAGAAAATAAGTCAGGGGCTTGGCTTCTCAGGAGTAACTGAAGAGCTCAGTTTGGATTGGGCTTTTATGTCAGTACATTTAGAAGTGGCTATTGTTATTTCTTTTTAGAGATGTAAAAACCTCCCCTTTTCCATGTTCACTGTACAATAGACTAGCAGCAACCGCTTGAATATATGCACAAAGTATACATTCATTCATTATGTGGTTTTTAAGCAAGGATCATTCACTTTTATTTGTTCATAAAACATTGTGCTTGCCAACAGGGCTTTATAAATAATAAATGCTGATAAAGATCTATATAAAGTCCAATTCTTTTCCCACAGAACTCAGCAGTGAAAATACCCCAGGATGCCAGCAGTAGATGTCTGTGTTTAAATAGTGAGATGTCTCTGAGGTTCTTCATGTGAAGTTTTAGGGACTATTTGATCAATGTCACGTTCCAAAATATTTGTCTATTATTATGCTTGCTGTTTTCAAAATGCACTTGTTCCAAAATTACTTGGTGCCATATCCTGCATAGTTTATGCAAATACAAGCCTGCGCTGCTGCTTTAATTTCTGAGGCTGTTGAATACACCCTATTATTTGCATATTCGTGTAAGGTTTTGTATACACATTTATTTGGCTTCATCTAATTACTCCTGCGTGCTTTTGGAAACTTGAATTTCCCAGCAACTGCAGTGGCAGTGGGGAAAATGCTGCTCGTAGTCTGCAGGCATTCCTGCTGCAGAAGTTACTCAGGAATTTTGCAGTAACTTAAAAGCCCAGCTGATTTCCACCTGCAGTTGCTCTCCTGCAGCGCTGGGCAGTGGATTAAAGAGCTGAGGGTGAGTGGTGCAGATGGCACCAGGAGGGAAGGGCTGGAGCCTCTGTTCTCCAGCTGGAGCCTTGTGCCTTTTGGGTGGATGCAGCAGTGTGATCAGTCATGCCAGCCGTGCAGCGATGAGGATTTCGATAGGGCTGATTCACATACCTTGGCAACACCTTGCTGCCTGTCTACCTCCCTCCCCGTGAATTCCTACGTGCGCTATATATTGGAATATTTTCACTGGTAATAACGTTCCAAGTGCTCCTGGCGGTTCATCGCTGAGGCATTTCATCACCCTGCCAGTCAAATCTTTTGCCTAGCCAGTGGTGAAATCGTTGCTTGAGCAGAAGGCAGGGAGCTCTCGGTTTGACAGCCACAGTTTGTGGAGCAGGAGCGCAGTTTAATTTCTCTCCCTAGCCTTTAGCCTCGACTCGTTCTGGTTCAGACTGACCTAGTTGCAAGCATCCAACATCTGCCAAAGTCATGGGCTTCTTTAGATAAAGGGCATGCATATGGGAAGTGCGTTGGGAACCAGTTCTGTGGTGTGCTCTGGGGAGCTGTTTTTACAGAGCTTTACTGAGCTGTCTCTGTTTGCTGCAGCTTTGAATGCAGCTATTCATGTGTTTTATCAAGTGATAGAGGATGACTGGCCTGAGCATGGGATGGAAAGGAAAATAATTGGTCCCTCCCAAGGAGGGTGCATTGGTGTTTGCGTGGGAATGAATGCCAAATTGTTTCTTGTTTTGCTGAATGAAAACTTTTGAACCATGCTTAACTTCCTGGGGAGAGCTTTGCCCATGCAGCACTGCTTGACTGTAGCCCGCAAAAACTCTCTGAATTAAGTGTCTGCAGTAAAATTAGTGCTGTGTGACTCCAGGTGAGAGTGTGTGTATGTGGTCTCTGGGTAAGGCTCCTTCTGTGCAGTTTTATTGCTGCTGAGGTTTGAGATATCAGTGAAAATCTAGAAATTGCATCTTCAGGAGGAATATAAGTATCAAAGATAAATACAGAAGTTAATCACCAAAGGGTTCCTGGTGGGACAAACAGAAGTAGGGGCCCTGTGTGATGAACTGCTGGGAGCTGAGGGGTTAACAGCAGAATCTGTCCCTTGGATTTTTTAAGTTGTTTTGCTGTGCAACCCCTTTCTCTCCAAAGTTAAATATAACAAATACAATAATGTGTTCTGTGGTACAGATATGATCAAAACCTCCTTGAAATCTGGCAAGATCTGCATGGAGGATGTCATTAAAGTCAGTTTTTGGAATACTGCAGTGCTCCAGAGCTTTCTGTTGTCCTTGGTGCTGCACAATAGAATTTGCCTTTGTGTATTTGCAGTCTGAATGGATGGGGTGGGAGAAGTGTCACAGGTGGGGAAACTGAGGCAGAGATTAAGAGCTTGATTCTGTTTCTGTAGCTATTGATAAAACATTTGATGGGTTGGCAGCAGCAGAACCTGAATGGCTTAGGCATGGGCAGAGTTAACTACAAAAGCAGTTTTTCCTTTTTAATTTATTATTGTTTTTAATAAAGTATTTCTTTTCCTAGAATAAGAATCAGCTTGAAAATACTGCTATCTTTTTTTTCTTCTCTCCATCCTCAGCTGTGCTTAGTAATAAATTAGCTGTAATGTTCATAATTTATTGGTCACTGGGGTAGTTAAAGGGGAAGAAACCCATGGAGTGAAAATAAACGTTTTAGTGGGGATGAATATTGCCAGGCATTGGCTGGTTATTGCTTACCGTTCATTTTCCCTTAATATATCTTCGCTGGCAATGTTATTTCTGGAAAGTTGTTTCTAGTGTGCCTTTCCCATTA